GAAATAAGATACACACATCGCGTGAGATCGACCACAAAACCACGCCGACAGGCAAGCACAAGACTGCAGGCTCTGACTATGCTTGCACTTCTTATATTTTTGAAGAAATTGGGTGCATCATCACACAATTTGTTTGACTACCGACAAGTGCTTAATTTGAGACAAAACACCTTATACTACATCAGGTTATAGGGGCGGGGGAGGATCGTAGCCTGCTTCTTTACCTGGGTCTGTGTAAATTGCATAAATTGCGTGCTGTTGCAGGGAATCGCCTGCTAAATCAGTTTTATCCGGGGCTATAGTCAAAGTCTCTGACTGGAAACCGAGGGAAATTTTGTAACAGCGGCTTCCCCTCTGGACGTCAGCGCTACTTTGCCGTGGAAAACTTCACCGCATCGCCGGACACATGTTTCGCCACAGAAAGTGAACCGGCGAAGGCGATCAGCACCCAAGCAGAAGGATGCAAAGGGCGAAACACACATGCAAGACTAAGAGTGTCATTTTAACCCCCGTTTTTCACCACACCACTTGGTCCGCTGGATTTTACCGTTTAATACGCGATCGCCGCGTTAAACCGAAATTACCCTGTGCGTAATCCTCACTATAATTATTCTTTTGAACGTCGCTAAATTTGTTGTTTTTTTCCGTATAATTTATGTTGACGGAATACATGGATGCGCAGATTGTGTCCCGGCGTTATAAATCCCAAAGCAGCTCCCAGCCCTGCCATGCCATGCCAAAAGCCAGGAGCCTAGCTGATCCACTAACCCACATTTTCACCGGCCATTGCGGCGCTGGCGTGAGACTACCGAGCACTCCCGCAGCACTCCCATATTAATACCCAGATGAAGCAGAAAGGTTATTTTTAATAATATATAATCTATCGTAAATTACCCGGCCCCGTCCCAGCGCTTGCACTTGATTTTTGACACTGCAACCCCGAGGCATGTCAGCTCGGAACTGGCAGCCCCTCTTACCTGCATGTGATGGATCGCGTTTATTGATATGCCGTAATTGTTTAAAAAACATCGTGAAAACACATTAAAATGCAGACTCCGCTGCTAGATGCGTGCGGGAAACCATCGCATTCTATGCGAACCGCCCCCCCGATCCCGATCAGCCGGCGTGCCCGTCCTGTTTACCGTGCTTTGCTCTCGCCGCGTCCGCTGCCCGTGCGAGGGAAGCCCCGTGAATCGCAGCCGGCGACCGGGACTCCTCGGCCGTCCCGCTCGCCGCATCCAAACAGATTTTAATACTAATAAGTTTAAAAAAATAAAGGAGAGGCTATACGTGCTCGTCCGCCTGTCAGCGCTGTCAGGGAATGAGAAGCCAGTCGGAGGTTTTTGCTGGCCGTGCAGCGGAGACGGGAGCCGCCTGGCGCTGCGGGTTAAAACGACAAGCGCGCCCCGGCGGCACCCCCGAGCGCTGGGGGCACGTCAGGAGACGGCGGCATGCGCAAACATTATACATATCAATATTTATAGGCCTACACCAGAATTAAATTTTGACTACATTATTCTGTAACCATAACAACTAGCTTGTCTTAGTTCCGTAAAATATTACAAGCTTATTTTGCATAGTAGATCTACATACTGAAATATAACGGGAATTAAGACCTGTGAGTAGTTGCTGTTTCTTAGTAGTCTTCACGTCTTTTCGGATTATTAAATCGTGTTGTTTCGCCGTTCTATAGACCTATATGAAGGTGCCCATGTGTGATTTATTCAGTATATTTTCACACTTTTTGGGACAATGTGTTTCTGTGACAAATGGCTTACCACGGAAAAATGAAATACTACTTTTGAGTTCCTAGTGCGCCCTCGCAATATATTTCGTGATGACGCCTGGGAGGAAAACAGCCGTCGGCTGGTATCACATGCAGATACAGCGGATCCGCCGACGTCCGAAAGGCAGCATATTCTCTCAGGGATCGTTAACCTGTCCGTAAACGGGCAAACGTGTAGGTGGCAAAATATTTTCACAGAGTTAAAGAACTATGTAGACTGGCTTTCCTAAATAGCGTACACTTAAAAAAATGACACTATATAGGTCTATGATTTACAGTAAATTCTACTGCGGTCCATGCTTGTTCACTGAAAATTCATTTACTTTATCTGAAAGCGTACAAATAAGCCTGATACACGGTCAACTTAGGTTATATTAACTAACAAGCTGAATTACACTTTAATTTTGTAGGCTATCTGCGTTCAACTTATGTATATATGAGTGGATAGACACCGCTGTAATACGCATCACCTGCAGTCAGAACAAAACTTGTCAGTCATTTTTACATGTTACTGCGGGAAAATGCTGTCAGCTACTGTAATTATTTTGGACAGACGATGCATTGCGATATACAGCTAAACTTACAGAACAACAAGTTACTGTAAAATTTACCATACGAATTACACTGTACAATGTCCGTAGTAAAAAAAAATACATTTTGATCACAATGTCCATCAGGATTCTCTAAAGTACTGACCCTTGCACTCTACTTCCTTAGAACCATGAAAACACCCGCATCAGCAAATCACCTGACCTCAGAACGTCATTCTGTCAGGCACGAATGATGTTCAATATTGAGAAGGTGTTAAAAAAAAAAAAAAATATTGAGAAGGTGTGAAGTTATAAAGGCGCTCGTGGTTAATATTCTATTTAAGGGAGATGTATGTTCATGATGTACCATAAGTTTGAAAACAAGGTTTTCCTGGTTACAAGATTTAGCCGATTGCTATGTTTTTCCTTCGGATATCTTTTTACTGCGCAAAACGTCCCAGGGCGTGGTTGATTCGAAGCGTGAAAAAATTCAGCCCCTAAGAGTTCGCATGTGTTACGGCAGTTAAAGCTAAAAGATCCCGCACAAGGGGTATAACACGTTTGGACTTAAACCTGCTCATTTCTGATTAAAGGTACAGTTCCCCGGTTTCTTTGAGTTGTATTAACTTGCTCCTGCATTTCAGAGATTATCCGTCAGAAACGTATAGGTCTTGTAGTTAAGTCTTAAGCTGTAAGCCAGTAGAAGGAGATGAGCAGGGTGTAGGATTTGACAAACATCAGAAAAAGAAAAACCCTGGACTGTTGTGGGGGTGGGGGGTGGGGGGTGCATAGCTTTGGCAGAAAGACTAGCCAGACAGGAGACACAGGGGTTGAAAAGAGGATGTTGTGCACACTCTTTTGCACACTTTCTTTGTCGGGAGCTGTGCAAAACGCCGTAAACATAAATGACAAGAATTACGTACATGTCCGACACATCATTTTCAGCTGCAATACGGCAAAATGGATTTTTCACAGCCTTCACTGTCAGTACGTGTGCAGTACGTCAATCCTCCCACCAAGACTGTGTCTTATCTCTATCGTCGCTTTATGGCAATCGCTTTACAGCTGTGAGAGCGGGACTTTGTTTCCACGGTATAAAAATTTACGACACAAATATGGAAAACTTGTAGGCTATATAATTTGTCTTATGAAGAATCTGATTCAGAGAAATGAAACTGAATCTTAGTAATATCTAAAAATCAGTTTTATCATTGGTCTGAAGCTCAAGGCAGACACTCCCTGGTGACACAACATATGGACAAAAGTACTGGGACACCAGGCCATTACACCCAAAGGAACTTTTATGGCCTCCCATTCTAAATCCATAGGCATCAATATGGAGCCGGTCCCCCCTTTGCAGCTATAACAGCTGTCACTCTTCTGGGGAGGCTTTCTACAAGGTTCTGGAGTGTGTCTATGGGAATTTTTGCTCATTCATCCAGAAGAGCAATTGTGAGGTCAGACACTGGTGTTGGACACAAAGGCCTGGCTCAGAATCTCTTTCCTAGTTCATCCCAAAGGTGTTTGATTGAGTTGAGGTCAGGGCTCTGTGCAGGCCAGTCAAGTTCTTCCACACCAAACTCACCCAAAAATATCTGTACTGACATAGTCATGCAGGAACAGAAACAACATAGAATTTACCAAAATGTCTGAAGCATTAAGAGTTCCCTTCACTGGAACTAAGGGACTTAGCCCAACCCCTGAAAAACAACCCCATACCATAATCCCTCCTACACCAATCAGCTGGCACAATGCAGTCAGGCAGGTAACGTTCTCCTGGCAACCGCCAAACCCAGACTCATCCATCAGACTGCCAGACAGAGAATCGTGATTCGTCACTCCTCAGAACACATTTCCACTGCCCCAGAATTCAGTGGCAGTGGGCTTTATACCACTCCATCCGACGCTTGGCATTGGGCTTAGTGATGTGAGGCTTGCATGCAGCTGCTCGGCCATGGAAGCCCATTCCATGAAGCTCCCGGTGCTCAGTTTCTGTGTGGGAGTTAATGCCAGAGGAAGTCTGTAACTCTGCAGTTACTGAGTCAACAGAGCGTTGGCGACTTCTACACCCTACGCAGCTCAGCACTCGGTGACCCTGCTCTGTTACTTTACATGATCTTCCACCTTGTGGGTCAATTTCTGTTGTTCCTAAATGCTTCCACTTTGCAGTAATACCACCTACAGTTGACTGTGGAATATCTAGCAGGGTAACAATTTCACAAACTGATTTATTGCAAAGATGGCATCCTATGACAGTACTAAGCTTGAATCCACTGAGCTCTTCAGAATGACCCATTATTTCACAAATATTTGTAAACCTGACTGCATGGCGACGGGCTTCATTTTATACACCTGTGTCACTGGGCCTGAATTCAATGATTGAGAGGTGTGTCCCAATACTTTTGTCCCTATAGTGTTTTCCCTACACACTGCTGGACAAAGACACTGGTGCAGCTGAAGATCCTGGACCCCATATTGGGACAATTTTACCCTTTTTGGCCACAGGGGGCCCACAACTTCAGGAGCCCCACACAGATGCAGGGTAAACACTGCTACTGTAGCTGGGAATGAGAACGGTATCATTCAGGTAGCCAGGGACGACAGCAGCTCTCACTCCCCTGATCAAAGGTCACCCTTCCAATTGACTCCAATTTTTATAGCTTTCGGTTCAACGTCCACCTCTCACCGCCTCACTTCCTGGCCCCTATGTTCGAGAAGCCTTGGGCGTGAAGAGTTCCCCTTCCCAAGAGCAGAGCGCTTTGCGTGAATCCTGGGCGCCAGGCTCAGATTTGGACCCGAGACTCACGATGCCGTCCCTACAGAAGGTTCTGCACTTCTTGGGTGGTTGCCTGTTCACCATGTTGGGAGTCGGGCTGACGGGGTTCGGAATGTCGGATCCCTGGGCTGCCAGCAAACTGGAATGCGCATCGCAAGGCAGCAACAACCTCAACAGCCCCGACTTCTACAACGGCACCGCTGACATCTCCTTTGGACTGTTTTCCATGGTGGTGTCCAGAGACAGCTGCCCCAGCTTCGGGGCGACCAATACATATGCAAGTAGGGTCTTCCTCCTTTATTCTGACCTCGTCGTCTACCTTGCAGAACATGATTTTATATTATATAAGAATAGAGTGAAAACCACTTTCTTGTCTTGATCTTATTGTCTTAGTTTGCTTTTCATGGTTCATTTGGTACAGTGATGGAAACAGTACATTTACATAAAATCACATTACTGTTTTAGTCCAACTAAAATTGGACTTATAAAGTAAATGTAAACATGTTTGTCTGACTGAAATTGTACTAAATCAAATTTCTCTTAGTCGGACTAAGACACCCAGATAACGCGATTGGGAGTCGATTTGCTGCTGGATGTATACGTCCAATCGCACTCAAACTGGCCTAGGCGCTCTGCACATGCGCCCCAGTTCCCTGCCCAGTTCCTACTCTAACAAAAGAAGCCAGTACACAGAAGAACCATGGAACATAGCAGAGGATGTACAACAGGGGTCTCCAACTCCGGTCCTGGAGAGCTACTATCCAGTGGGTTTTCTGTCCCACTTGGCTTCTGATGAGCCACACCTGGCTCTGGTATTTACCTGAGAACAGGTGTGGCTCATCAGAAGCCAGGTAAGGATAGAGAATGTACTGGACAGTAGCTCTCCAGGCCCGGAGTTGGACCCCTAATGTACAACATGTACGAAATGTACAGCGCTGTAAAGCTGTCCAATTCACCGCTCAACTAAAGGGCACTTTTCTGCTGCACCAAGTACTGTACTTTTGGTACTTCAAGAAGGCACCAAAAGTACAGTACTTCAAGGTGTTGGTTTTACACTGGTGTTGGATGACATCACAATGCAAGGCCGGGTATTTTGTACTGAATTTGAAAAAATGGCTGTAATACCTTAAACGGCTGGACAGTGTGCAATATTAATACCAACAACATTTCAGTATTTCAGGTGACGTTTTCTGCTCCTGAAATGGCATTAAATCCTGTTTGTTTTTCTGTAGCTTTCCAAAAATTAGAAGCCATAGGCGGACCCCCGCTGATCCTGCACAGCCTCGTCATATCGCTCTTGCTCGTTAGCTTGATCACTTCTGCAGGGACTATCTTCATCACCTTCTACAACAGTGTCAGCAACCCCTACCAGACACACTTGGGGCCCTCGGGTGTGTACACCTGTTGTGCTTGCAGCGGTGAGTTTCTAGCAAATGAATACATGCATCCATCCATCAATCCGTCCATCCATCCATCCTTTCATGACCGTTTAGTCAGTGTAGGGTCATGGTGGGCTTTTTCACAGGACAGGGAGCCACTCTGGACGGGACATCCCAGTTACTGACGGACTGCCATCCATATGCACTCACCCTACATGCAGTCTTGATGTACCAATATTGACCATTATGATAACTACCAAAAACTGGGATGTAATGTAATTGTTTAAGTCTAATTTCGGAGACATTTAGCAACATTTACGGTAGCCTACATTATCTAGATTGAGTTTGTTGGGGCATTTAAGTTAAACATTTTAGACTGACAGTTGAAGTGACATTTAAGTTATATAATTCAGACATAGGGTTGTAGGTACATTTAAGTTACATAGGCCTATTTAGGACGGAAACACGTTTAAGTTCATTTTCATGTCTGAGAACGAAAATATTCCCCATCATGCAAACATGTATGACAGCACTACTAATTTCTCTGTAATAATAGTTGACATCAGAACCAGGAAAATAACCTTGAAAACGCACCGACCTTTTATGCGTTGCTTAAAACACGTAATCGTCGCAGTTTTAAATCATGACCCGAATGGTTACATTAAAAGTCGCTTTGCTTAAGAGCTCAGCTCTAGTTAAGTGTTAACAAGGGGATTTAACCATTTCTTTGTTGTTCCCTCAGTCATATTCGCTTTTCTGGCTCTCGTCCTGTTTCTGGTGAACGTTTTCGCCACAAACCTGTGGCAGGCCATCGTCCTAAATGAGGTGAAAGTGAACCTTCGGAATGTGACAGTGTCCATGCGGCTTGGCTTCTACCTCCTGATCCCTTTCTTGGTGACGTCATCCCTGGCCATAGTGGTGATCGTCCTGTACCAGCACGTTGCCTACACACACCAAAAGGAGCAACAGAGACCCACGGAGGACGCGCCCAAGGAGATCATGATGTACTAGCGCCAATGTCCCGAAGTAACGCTTCAGAGCAGGCGTACAAATGTTTCTGAGGATGTAAAGCGCGTTATTTAAATCCACAAAACGCCTCTGGATAAATATAACACATTTCTCACTTGTCAGATATGGAGACAGATATGTAGGAAGAAAACCACTTCCGAATCCTTTGTAAAGTTTATAGCGTTAAGATTAGCAGTACAAGATTACGGAATGGGACCTTAAAGGTATAGCTACATAAATGAATATTTTACGTGCATTGCTATAGCGGCGATGTATAAAATGTGTGTGAAGGAAACAAATTCATAGCAGGACCTGTACAATTTTCCGAAAATATTTAAGCAGATATGGCTGTTTTTTCAGATGTGTCAAAATTCCCCTTTAAGATTAATTTCCACCCAGGCGGAACTGCATAAAAATAATAATAATTTAATTGTGCTATACTTAGATGTTATATTTTGCGTCTATTGAACAGAAAATCGATTAAGTCGGCCCTGCCTAACCACGGATGCGTGAAGCAAACGATCACAAATGTTTATGCAATCACGGTAAAAACACACAAAACCTTCACCATAGAGTCTCATTGTAAAGCTCTTCTGTTTTATATTGAATTATATCAACATCTTGAGCTGAAGCAATGCTATATGATTTGGAATCTTCAATATGAACTATATATATATAGTTTTAATGCTGTATCCAATTATATGCTATATTCATTTTTATATATGTTCTTTGTTGTAATTAATTATATACGTCCCTCCATATTTATCGACATGCTAGCTCCACTGATTGTTTTCTTATTTATGTTTTATTTTCTGAGAGCATGCAATAAAATACCGTGAAACACCCAGTATATTATCAATCTAAATCTTTTCCGCCCTCTATTGGTTAAAGTGCGTTAGTACAAATGGTTTATTTTGACTCCGTTTCTATCAAACACATTTTGCCTTCTGTAACATTACTATAATTTTACAACAGATGATCTCTTCTAATGACTTTTGCGCTCCAAATAATTACTTATTTGGCTAGTTGTGTGATGTGGTACTATACTGTGGATCATATTAGTCAAACACCATGGACAGTCATCTGCATTACTCTGCATCAGTAATATGCGCTGCAGTATTAGCTTGTTATCTGACCAGGCATTTTAACAGACGCAATAAAAAAAAATAAAGTAATCAGAGTCACACACACAGCCAGCAGAACCACCAGGAAATAAACCAACCTGGATAGGTGCCCCATGACTGATGAATAGAGCCAGGTCCAAGAGTTTTTTGACCGGTACCAAGGTGCTAAGTTCAGCCCGGCTCTATCATAGTCTCTGCGTCGCATTTAATGCGCTAGGCAGTGAGTGGGTGCAGCATGTGGAGTACTGCTGCACGGAGAATTCGTTAATGAGAGGTGTGCTTTTCTCATAGGCTCTGCTTATCACCATCTTGGGCTCTTTCGCGGTGGGGGCTCGTGTGGAGTGGGGGTGGGGGGGGGGGGGGGGTGGGGGGGGGGGGGGGGGGGGGGGGGG